GTTCCGTCACACAAAGGAATTATTAGTAATAGAACTTATAGAATTTTATATAAGAAAACTAGAAATAAAGAGTAGAACTTTATATTCAAAGTAGCTCTAATCACTAAGCTTCGGCTAAAAAAATGATTTAGGGTTTTTTTTACGGATTAATAATTCTTATCTAGTATATAGATGGAATTATATATAATCTATTATTATTAAACAGGAGTATCTGGCCGTTGTAGTAAGACCCAGCTCTGCTTACTAGATACAGAATCGAGCCAGCCAGTTTTTCTTCTGTGGCAAATCGTCTAGCCGTCATGAAAACTGGATTATCTATAGTCTCAGTCTCAGGGTCACGAGTAATAGTCAGTGAACTAGTTAAGGGCGTTTTTCCAATAAAGAGTAATATATATCTTCTGGCAATGATTGTAGGCTTTGTAGCTCACGTCTTCGCCGCTATATCGTCAGGTCCCATTGGTAAGAACGTTGTTCCCAGTATCAAGAGTTTGCTAATGCTTTCAGTAGTCAACATAGCTGGCTACACTATACTAGTAGCTCTCTTTGCTTCAGTCTTGTTATCAGCTGGTTGTGGTCTTTTTAGTACCTTCTTAACTAGCACTCCGGTGGGCAAGTGGATTGGGTACCAGATTCTTTATGGAGTTGGTCGTGGTCGTGGTCTTGGAATTCAAATGGTATGCTTGATATTCACTGTCACTAATTAATCCGAGTGCCCATCTAATAACATTATTTCTTTCTGGTAGCCAATCCTCTCGGTTCAAACCACGGTACCACCCAAACAAATTCCCCTCGCCATAGCTCTTGTCATATTCAGGCAATCGTTTAGAGCAGCCTTATTCCTCAGTCTTGGAGAAACTATATACAGCAATAGTTTTGGAAATCTCATCCACGAATATACACCTTCGGTCACTGTTACAAAGATCACTGATGCTGGGGTCACTATATTTCGAAGTTTTGTTTCTGGAGCATATCTCGTGTATTAATCGCTTATGCCAACAGTATTGATCGTGCTTTTTATATGGCAGCAGGATTAGCAGCTAGCTGCTTCATTTTCGCGTGGGGAGTGGGATGGAAAGATTTGAGAAAGAAGAAAGCGGAAGTTTCAAAAGCTTAGAAGTATGATCTGATCTACAAATAAGACTAAGATCATACAGAAGTTTATGGGGCGCTTCCGCTGCTGCAGGGTCATGGCATATATTCAAATGACCCAGATGTATCTTTTTAGAAAAAGTTATAGTGAGCGTTGATAATCAAGTGAAACCTCGGCAAACTCTTATTAACGACTCAGTTATTTCGTTAAGAATACTCGTTCGGTTTACACTTGACCTTGATGGAGGTGTTGTGTTGACAGACTCCTTCCCGAACATTTTATTGGGACACCGATCTGTCATTCTAGGCCACGCTTGCTCCCGGTCTAAAAGTATCATACGCCAGTGCTGTAACATAAAGAGATTGTTCGAAGCCAACTCTGGATAGCTTGTGTCCCTATTGAATGAGCGATTATTTGACATCTTCATAGGTTTTTTAGAATCATAATCTATTCCTCGCAGCTACAGAAGATATCGAATCGTTTGTGACGCGTCAAAAATGCGATATCATAGAGAACCAAGCTCGGTCCTGTCACAGAAAACCAAATGCATCTATAACTGCCAGAATCCTTCATAAATAAGGTGATCATCATGAGAGATTACCGTGGGCGGCTAGAACATCCTCCATAATCTCACATCTTTCTTCGTCTCAACTCAATTTCTTCGGTCTTGATCTTGGGGGCTACGATAAAAAGCTCCCGTACATTCCGCACAGTCTCGGTATTGATTTTTACCGGATCGGCCACTCTAAGGTCCCACTTCATCAGAAGCTTGATCGGAATCACCTTTATCTCGGTATCGGCAAAGAAACGACCAGGGCGGGCAGGAATTCCCCCAGAAGCCCCAAGTCAGCGAATCTGGAGAAACCGTCACAAAGAGATGCTTGTTCTACTTTGCAGCCATCTTGCAGATGCAATAAAACCTAAATCCGTCGAACTCATGCGGAGGCTTGGGCTACAAAGTTCCATCCTTTGTTTCTGATCTTATAAAATGTTCCATTTTCTCCTGATCTATATACTTATATGAAAAGACAGAATGTTTTATAGAGACTATTGAGAATGTTAAATACTCTATTCAGTTCATTTTTTTAAATAATAGAATAAAAGATAAATCAAAAAGTAATAAAAGAAACTTCACTTTATTTATTATATATTCTATACTTTCTATAAGATCTTATAAACTATTATAGTCTATAAAGATTTCAGAATAAGCTTTCAACTTTGAAGCTATCTCTATCTTCGTTTTGAAGTTATCCCTATATACACTTTGAAGCTCTAATCTCATTTCTGCTTAGCTAGCTATTCAACTAGCGACGATTTTCTGAAAGCTTTATTTAAGATTTTTGATATATTCTACTTGTATTCATTTTATCTCTTTTAAGTTAGTAATCATACAGATATTGATATTTAGGAAGTAAAATAGATCTGCATTTTTGATATTCAATATTATTCATTTTTATAAAAAGAATAGAATAAAAAAATAGAAAAGCATGGAGCTTTATATCTCAAGTAGCCCTTATTCTCGGGCGAGTTGTATTCCGGAGAGAAAGTTTGCTACTGGGGAGACATCTGTACCGCTCTCGCACCGAAAGCAAAAGAGTTCCCTTCGGGATTCTATGCCCAGTGGAAAGCATTATGGGCTCCATAGCCTGGGGTAGAGTCGTGACTTGATACATCCATTGTCAGCATTCTGTGTTTGACTATCGTAGAAGCCAACTTACTCACGTTTTTAGACAACCTTGAGCTCTCCTTCATGAAGCTGTCCAGCTTCCAAAGTTTTACCAGACTCGACTGCTTGAATCTCAAAACGCCGTTTTCGTCTTTTTCTACGTTGTCCTGTGCAACCACTTCCTCGGTTCATCCCTCAATGGTTGTATGTATTCTGGTCTCGCAGCCAGGTCCAGGATAATGAAGGTAAGGGCGTTTGTAGTATTGCTGATAGAAGCGAAAGGCACTATTCAAAGAGAGTGAGATTATTGGTTCATCATCCACTAAGTGGTCACGGGCAGAGGACATGTATACTTATAGCTCACTTGAACTCTTGCTAAGACTATGGGATCGGTAGTGTCCAGTCTTTTGAGGATCCACGACACGAACGATACTCCCCCCTTCCCTTCGTCGATCCCCTCATCTTCGGTTGCCAAAACCTTTCTTTTATCATCATAGAGTGGAGTTGTGGCTCCAGAGATCTCTAACAGACAGATGGTGATAACAGGCTTTAACGTTTCAGCAATTCTTGATATATACCGATTGGCTTTTCGTATCTCTGGAAGAAATGATCCAAAGATGGGTTGTAGAAACGTGAGCCACCACTTGATAGCATCTCTAGTAGCTTGAAGAAAGTCCACCGTGACTCGAAATAATAGGTGGTTCCACTCATCATCACGGGTGAAGCCAGTGTTCTACTACTCCCTCCTTAAACCTCCCCTCCCGTTTCTTTCTTTCCTCTCCTACTCCTAATAATTGGAAATCAGAGCTCTCCTTTCCTACTTCTAATAATTGAAATTCACTATTCCCTCCCAACCTTGGACCCAGAAGAAAAGAAAAGAGAAATAATATTTTTGATATAGTATTATATAATAAAATATCATATGATATTATATTACTATATACTAAGAAATGATCTGATTTAAATAAGATCATGAGATATTAATAAATAATAGATTATATAATACTTTTAGAAAAATGAATAAAAGATTGAAAAATATACTGATATATAAATATTTCTCATTCTCTTAGATAATATTTTCAATAACTCGAGTATATCTTTCAACTTCTTTCCACTCTTAGCCTCAATTTTCACATTTCCTCAACATTTCTCTCCTGAAATAAATTGACTATTCCTCTCCTGCTCCTAATAGCTAGCACCAGTGAGCCTCTCTCCTACAAAGCAGGAGAGGAAAGGAAGGGAGAAGTAGAATACTGGGTGAAGCGTGGCGCAACAAAGTCGCCCGCAACCATTCGTGCGACGACAAGAACAACAAAATTGTGCAGATGAAAGCTCTTCCAATCTTCGGAGTAGCCCAGCTCTTTCTCCAAAATACCACTTATTTTATCTTCCGCCCTGGTTGAGAGTGTTTGCTGGATTTCGATTTAGATCCGATGTTGCAGCTAGTTTGAATACAAAGTTCCTTTATTCCTAGTTTTTGATACAAAGTGGGAGATCTCACAAGAAGATATAATAAAGAAGTTGATTGATTGAATTAGTTCTTGAGAGAGCTCTAACTCTTGTGAGATATTCATAGAAGAGTCGCGCGAGCTAACTTGAGGTCTCGTGCGATTACTCGAGTAGACGAAACTGTAGTAACGCTACTTTTGTCACAGTTTTTCTATTCTTTATTCCGTTAATTCAACTCATTTAACTTTATATTCATTTTATTTACTCGAGTAGAATACAACAATTAGATTATTCAATACTATTTTATATCAAATATAACTTTTACGAAAACCAGCTTTATAAAAGAGTCGAATAAAAGAACGATAATTATACGTAATTATCTCTGTGGCCGTTATCTTTGATACAATAAGATAACAATAATATAATCTATTGTAACTATTACGCCGGTTAACAAAATCTATTATAGCTATTCCATCAATTAGCAGGATGTAATCGATTACCCATTAAGCGAACTCTCTATTGGCCCGACGCACGCTTATACGTGACTACTTCATTGCGAGGTGAAAATACGCCAGTCAGCAAAATATATTCGCTATGTTCAGTGGGTCTGTAGGAATTCTACCCCACCGGGCAAATTACTCCGGTCAACCGAATATAATCAGACACTCCTCAAGGTTTCGCCTCTATTGACATCCTATCGGGCTGATAATCTACCCGAGCGGGCACTAGCGGGTAAGCACACATCTCTAGCTAAATCTGGTGTACGGCTCGCTAGTCTAGCGTGTGCATTGAGACTCCATATGTCATGTGATTTTGAGGACCTCGGTTGATTAGCCAATCAGTAAGAGATAGTCCTCGGAGTGGGTTGATGCATACGCTAGACTAACGGCTCGCGCTGCGTTCGGGACTTTGCGATATTGGCATTGCCAAGCTGGGGAATAAGTTTTATGAACACATAAGCGCTACAATAAGGAGAGATTGAACATCTTTCTCGGCAGGACTAGAACTCGCCCCCCACAACACTAACCGAATTCCAATGTGCTGCGAATGACGCTAATTCGGAGTTGCACCATTATCATTTCTCTGAGTTTGATGGGTATAGTTTGGGCACACAAGTGGCTAGTTGATACTTAGTTAAACACTTGATAGACTAGGTATAGAGTCCCAAGGCTCCCAACTCCTAAGGCTTTATAATAATTTGAATTTTCGAAAAGCAGAAATCTTGGTTTGACCTAGATTTAATCTAATTCCGAACTAAATGTACGGAACTAACCCACTTTTTGAATAAAGTTATTAGGTTCAAAGTTTTATACATTAGTCGGGCCAAAAGATAGATTGAGAGTTTAATAGCACTTACGCCGCCGGAGAGCCTATGTTTGAATTTTTAGTGGAGACTCAGAGAATTAGGATTTGCAGAAATATAGAGTCCTTCACTAGGAAAAATCTTTTTCACTGAATCTAAATCTAGACTTCTAACAGCATAAGTAATTATTATAGACAATAGCTTTATTCTATACAAATAATTTATATATAGTATACGCGGATCTACTACGCTAATATAAGTCTATGTTTTGGAGATAGATTTAGTGCTTTATAGCTATCACGGTTGTAATAATAAATTCCAGTCTGTGGATTAGAATCTAGTGTTAGTAATATAATAGTAGATTCTAGAATGTTCAATATGATTTTATATTATTATATATTGTAT